TCCCTCTTCTTTCTGCTCTGCATGTCTCCCTCTGTCTCAGTGCCTCTCTCTTTCTCTACTCTCTCACTCTCTACTTTTCCCGCCTTTGGCTCCAGTCCCTCTTTTATGTCTTATAGGATGTTCCTTAATTTCCTCTAGCTCTTTCTTTTTCCCTTTGTATTCTTATTTCACCCCTACCATGTTTCGTTATACTATCCTCTCTCCTTCCAACGGTATGCATTCTTATTTCTCTTTCATCCCTCGTATAACCGTCTTCCTCTCGATCTCCTTCTCTATATTTCTATCTCAACATTTTCATTTTGATGACGTCATCGTAGTGAAAATTTCGATTAAATGCGACATGTCAGAATTTTCGTAATTTGCGTGTCATATGCCTATGGGAGGTGACTTTTTCTGAAATCTGCATTGTACATTCCAGTCTTGTTTGAGCAATATCTGGATTATTTTTTCTCGATTTTCTGCCAGCTTCGAATATTTTGTCGCTGAAAATTCTCTACACTTAAGGTCACAATTTTTTTTTTTAAATCAGATGTTGGGATCATGTCGATATTCTGACTACAAGATGTGATTTGAGAATCCTATTTTTCGTTAAAGTGTAATGTCTATGTATTTTGGAATTCTAAACAACCCGACTCAAAGCCCGTGGACAACTCGACCAGACCAGGTCGACTTGTCTAGGGTGGGATGCTTCGGGGGACAGCTCGACCAACTTTTTTTCTCCTCATGATTTCATGATCTAATATCTCTCATCTCAGATAAAATTGTCATTTGATGTATTAATTATGCTTTTATAAACACCCAACCCTAACCTAACCATAACTCTAACCCGGCGATTGTACGCCTTCGGCTCGTCAAAAATATATTCTCGTTGCAAAGAATATCAGCTTTATTCTTTAGAACAGCTCTCAAAATACTCACAATTTCCATGTTCCCTGTCATGACTGTGCTAATTATAAAAGCATTAATACATAAAATGACAATTTTATCTACGATGAGTTATTTTCAGTTATTCAGCCCACGTATACGCAATGTTTACGTCTCTAGCTCCCTAGGACAAAGAATTGTTTACATGTCAATAAATTTCTCTTTCTATATATCTATCTACTCACATCTCGCTTTTTTTCTCCCCACTCTTTCAGCCTCTCCCTCTCTTGCTCTGCCTCCCTCTTTTTCTCTTGCTCTGTCTCCCGATCCTTTTCTCTACTCTTTTACCCTCCCCCTTTCCAGCCTTCTTCTTAATATTTAAAGTCATCATCTTATTGAAAGTCATCATGAAAACTTTTACCATAAACACAAATATTCTTTTCAAAAATAATTCCTAGGTACTGAGCTTCCTTCTCACATTCCTAGATATATACTTATAAAACAGTACAACATACACAAATCAATACAATTACTACATATCTCATGAAAATGTTTGGAACAAACTGTTTCAATTTTTACTGCACATAAATTATCAGTTAAGCTTTATCAAGGTAAAACTTTAAAGTCAAACATAATATTCTTCATCTTATCAACCATTACATGATATCAGGAGATCATGACACTACATAGCTCATATCACTAAATACCAATCCTAGTCAATATAATAATAATAATAATAGTGGGTTCTTGTATAGCGCTCATGTCAGTCAGATTTGACCCTCCTGGCGCTCCCGATTATTACCCTGGGTTTAGCACGGCTGCCATACGGCGCTCTAGCATTTCAAAGAATAAATTCCTACCAGGTACCCATTTACTTCACCTGGGTGTAGTGTGGCAAATGTAGATCAATGTCTTGCCAAAGTTGTATATCCAGAAATCTCAGTTCTCAACCTATGGTTTAATCAACCAAGTTTTATAATGTACAATAAATAATATGACATTCTTACTTTTATCAAGTCATAAGGCTTAGATACATTAAATTTCCCTTGTATTTGAGTTGAAAATTTGCACATGCAATTACTAAAACGTGTTTCCAATAATCGGATTTTTCTTTTTTTAAATGATATTATATAGCACCCGTACCTCAGAACGTTAATATCATGGAAAAGGTTAAGCATGGTTATAAGTCTACAAACACCTTTGAATAAAACCTTTGCTAAAAACAATGCCAACATAGCACAACAATATCATGCTGTGGGATAATTAGCATAAAAACAATCCATGTATAAATATGTTTGACATATTCTGCACAAAGTTTAAAACCTATAACATGGCTATACGTTAATGTCCATAGAGTTTTTTTATAACCTGTTAATACAAAGTAGAGATTATCAAATGTTCACATCATCACCTGAAGACAATGTCTTTGACTCAAAATTAAACAATTATCCGGCATTAAAGAGCACAATCCAATGGCCCGAATTCACAAAGGAGGTTTGTCGACAAACCGAGGTTTATGTACGTCCTATGACGCGTTTTGACGCGTTTTTTTTACAAACCTGGTTTGTAAATAACAAAAGGAGGTTTGTCGAAACAAAAGGAGGTTGACAAACCTCCTTTGTGAATTCGGGCCATTGTGTTCAGCATCATTAAGCCCTCTCTGATATATTTAGATACATAAGGTGGCTGTCTAATTATCATCTCTTTCTGTCTTTTCTGTTCAAAATGTAGTGACTAATATTCCTGCACTTGCATAAACTACAATGCGTATATATTGCTGTAATATTTTCTTCTTCATATCAAACTTCAGTAGTGGATTTCATGCATTTCTACAAAACATATGCTCAGGATAATAATTTTGTATGTGCTATCACAGAAAGTTTGATGTGTATACATTTGTGGCTGGCAAGATCAATATAAAATAAATCTCAACATTACATAATCCTGGTAAATGCAATATGTATTCAACAAATGACATTAACAAAATATGTTAAACCGTGATACACATCCAATAATTTACAATGGTAGACAGACAAAAGAAATCCATGAGTATAGTGCATTTTACATTCTGCTCATATAATCTGCTGTAACATTATACTGAACCTTCATCGATACAAGCCTAAACCTGTAATCTTGGAGCATCATGCTCCATCTCATGATTATCTTATTGTCAAACCTCTTCGCTTGAATATAGACCAAAGGTTTGTGGTCTGTGTGCACTTTAATACAAATAATATTTGAACTTTTTGATTGCTCGTACTATAATATTGCTCAGCACTTTTTCTCTATTGTTGTGTAATTTTTTTCCCGTGGTAATGACTTCTTACTCGCATAAGCAATCAGGAATTCTTCTCCTGAATGTTACTGCATAAGCCCAGCACCCACATTTACCTTCAATACAAACAACTGATCCTCGGCATTTTCCACAGAATCCTGACACACTTTCATACTCTCTGTACACAAATCAAAGCAGCCAGCCACTGACATGTTAACCTTCTGCCTGGGAAATTTGTTGAGAAGATTAATGTGATATGTCTTAAGAACACCACTGCCAATGTATAGTCTACTTTACGCCAGCACAGGGAATGGACCCTTCCATTTCAGCAACAACTTGTTCTGATCAGTGGGAAGCAAGATCAACACCTGATCTCCGATATTAAATTTCCTTTTTCTAGCATTCATATCCTAACACTTCTTGTATTTTCCTGCAGCACCTTTTAAGGCTTCCTGGGCTAACTCCCATGACTTCACCAACTTCTCACGGAGCACTATGTCATATTCATACTCATCTTTCAACTCCGGTATTACATCATCATTTGTCCTCAATTCCCTTAACATATCAAAGACACTCGCCAAGACCCAGTCTTCACTAAACCAAGTTCTCTGAAATGGTAGAAATTTTGAAGATATTCAATACCTACACATGGTGATAAAAAAAAAGGTCATATAAATCAAACATTTCCATTGTCACTGCTAACATTAAATATAATCAGTGTCTCCGTTACCTTTACTACTGCTATCACCTTCACCAGTATTACTGTTAGTAGGTGAAAAGCATTACCCTTGTTCATCTTTCAGATAGATGTTATTACTGATCACTGGTTTAACGCTAATATAATCGTATTCATTTAATAAATGACTGAGGAAATTAAAAAAAATTAACAATTTGTGTACAAAGCAAATGAGATATGAGCTCGCATGTGATGTCACAAAGTTTCCAATTTGTGCTTCACTGATTACAACTCCAACAATTCTCATTTCTTTTTGATTTTCCTCAAAATTTCATTGATTTGTTTCTCTCATTTATCTGCTTTTATGAAGACCAACTTATTTTTGGGGTGGACTTCCCCTTTAACACTTTACATGTATGAAGATCAACTTATTTCCGGGTGGACTTGCCCTTTAACACTTTACATGTATATGTAAGCATCTTAAAAAGTGCATATTTATAATTATATGGCTAACATCATTTAATCCTTACTGTACTTGGGGGGGGGGCGTAAGAGCCCCCCCCCCCCCACCCCACATTTTTGGAGATAGCGCCGCAACCGCTTGGAATTTTAAATTGTTGTTCTTGCATTTTTTTCCTCAAGTCTTACGCACATTTTGATACCATTTTCATCGAATTTGGATACACCTGTCAGGTGTTACATAGCAATTAGTATGCGCATATCATCAAAAAGTGCTACAATTGCATATATCCATGTACAAGCAGAAATGTGAATACAGGTAAATAGATGTATAAGTGGGAGATATGAATTGATATCAAATTGCTTTGATACGTTTCTCAAAGTAACTTGATGTATTCCAGAACAAAACAATACATTAGAAATAAAACAATAGATTGAGGGCTTAAAACCACAACTGTCTATGTCCAAATATGCCATTTTGAGTAAAAATGCATTTGAAAGTAGTTTGATTGCAAGCATAAAATCTGACAAAATGAAGTAGTTATGTTCAATGCCATTAACTTATGAATAATACTTGGTCAAACATCATACATGGAGGCCATGACCTTTTGACCCTGTCAATGTCAAAAACTTACAAAATGGGAGTGCCAAATACCATCCATGGAACTCTTCAGGAATAGCTAGGCTATTGCACAAGTTGATGAGATCCTTCTTCTTAAGGTTTAGTTTTTTTTTTAATGCTTCTCTTGGTAGACAAGGTCCAGATTACGTGGAACTGATGATCTATCTTCTCGTAGTCATCCAAGTAGCTATAGATGGTAGCAGATGGTGCCTTGCTCTTCCTTCCTGTATTGGAAGCTCTTTACATGTAGCCAGTTGAAGACGTGTCCATCTTCGTCTGGGCGTTTGTTATTCATGATCTGCTGTGAGAGTTTTTTCAAATCATAAAAGTCTCCATGGCACATGTTTATGACCTTGTATGGAAGCCGACGTCTTAATTTGTGGAAGATTTTTTACCCAGTCATGCATTGTGAAGACATTGATGTTCTTTTTTTCTGTTTCAATAGCAGAATGCATGCTATTGCATTCCATGTGGGAATGCCCACTCTCCAGAAAATTGTGTGCGATGACTTTGAGATGTGTGTTCTGGATGGCATAGAGTAACGTTGCAGCCACATTCACTTTGCAAATCAAAGGAAGCCGAGACAAAAGTCCTCTTTCCAGCAACTACCTTGGCCTGGCATAGCTGCCAACATTTGGAATTTTCAATTAGTAACATTTAAAGTAAAACTGAATATCATGTGCGCATAGCGAACATCACGAGCACGAAGTCTCTTTAGCCGGGGTACTAGATGCTCTCTGGTGCAATCTGAGCCTATTTTAGGGACCATTTCCCATAAAATTCAACCTTTTAAAATGGGTAGTTGAGTAATTAGAAAAATGAGTTCTGAGAAAAACACAGGTTTACCTGCCTTCCCTGACACTCCCATACTACTCATTTAGAGCTCTGTATGTTGCAGATTTTGCTCTCTTCGGAAAATCAGAGTCACATTCCCTCATGTAGCAGGGTGTTGTTTGGCGAGCCTTAGTAATAAGGACACTTTCTAGAGTTTTGTTGCTCATGGACCCTCTGAAGTCAGTTTTGTTCTTTCGCACCTGACTGAAGACCCTTTCACATTCAGCATTGGTATGGGGTATGGTTAGAATCCCAAGCATTACTCTTGCAAGTCTGTCATAGCACAGTTCACCAGAAGCATTCTTCTCTGTCATCATACTTGTCCACTGCTTGTCAGTAGATTCCTCATTTTGCACTAAGTACGGAAGCTGAGCAAGTTGATAGATAAGAAACTGGTTCTCCAGAGCATCTAGGGCACTGTGCTTGTCTTCTTCTTCCTGAAGCAGCATGCAGGGGAACTTGTTGATGAAGAATTTAGAGAAGTTAATTTGGCATCCTTCTGACATGCAATGTCAGCCACTTGCACATGGATGAGAACATCAGACTTGAATGGAAACTTACTTACAATGTAGTCACATGCCTTGGTGTAATATGAACGCACTGCTGCATAAAACTTATGGCAATCAGACTCATCTAAAGTGTTCACAATTTCTCTTGTTGCGCTTCCTATGACCATTTCAGATTCTTCACGAAGATTCTCCTTGTTCTTGTAGTCCAGAAGGGTCAAGTCTGTGGCTGCAATGATTGCTTGTGGAGCTACAATTGGCTGTACAAGTCACGCAGTAGACTTTCTTGTATTCCTTTCAGCTTGTGTATCAGAGGACTTCTCATCTGGAAGATGACACTTTTCTTGTCAGACGCAATGATGCTGTGGCTGAGAAAATGTGCAATGGCTAATATTGGGTTTGAGTGCAATGACTTCAGAATTCTTTCCTGTCTTGTTTCATCCTTTACTGTCTGTCTTGTTTTCTTCTTTTCTCCACATCTTGTTTTTTTCATTTCCAGTCATTTTACTAGAAATCGTACTGGGATGACTGGAAGTTCCAGCCTTGAGCACTGTTGAGCCTGTTGCCTTGCCGACAAGTTTCCCAGTCTTCTGCTTCTTGCTAGGTGTATCCGAAGTGTCCCTCACTTGTCGTTTTTCCCCGAGTAGTACAGCTTGAAGATGGTCTACTGTGTTGTGGCTGTGGTGCTTGAAGTTGAACCTGGGAGGAAGAAAAATTATTGATTACCATATGAGAAAGAAATAAGACTACTGACACTGTTTACAATTAAAAAGATACACTACATTTGAAATCTTGGCACATGACTAGCATTATTGAATAAATGTTTATATCTGTAAACTGAACAGCGGAGTGAAGATGATTGGAAGAGAAAGAGCTAACAAGTAAATGAACTAAAAATAAGAAAGAAAAAATGATGAAAAGGTACATATTTAACTGTCACCCTGTATATATGATCAACTTTTGTACTCACTTGGGTCTGAGACTGGGCAGGTTTGCTCACATGTGGTGGATCTGCAGACACCTTCTTGGGAATGCGGAATGCTTGGAGTTGTGCAGTCATCTTGGTTTGGTGAGGAGGCTTTTCCTGTAGGACAAGACAAGTTTAAAAACTTCATGCGATGCCTGCAACACTATTGATAATGACTTTAATTTATAAGCAAACAATTTAATTACACATTAAATTAAATTTTGCAATTACCATTCTGGTTCATGTAGTTTTTTATTTTTTTCAAACTATTTTACAATGTAAAATGAAAATAACTATTGCCAATTTGAGGAGTAAAAGCTGATTAATTCAAACATTAAGAAAGCTCTCTACTGCTAGGGATAATCTATTCAAATCTGGTAATTTTAATGATGGCCATATTTAAATGGAATGAAAAGGAGTAGATGCCTTGTAGTAATACATTTTCTAGCCTTACCTGTAGTTGAGATCCCTGAGCAGGTTTATTTTTCACAGCTGGAGTTGGCTTCTTTGGAACAAGTGCAGTCTGGACACTATTCTTGGTTGCCTTGGTCTGTTGAGTAGGCTTCTTCTGCTGTGTCTGTTCAGTAGGCGTCTTGTGCTTGGTCTGTTGAGTAGGCTTCTACTGCTGGGCTGACACTTTGCTAGATAAATCTTGGCAAGCATTGGCCCAAGCTCAGCCATCTCGTACAAGCATGTTTCAGAATTGCCTGCACTAGCTTCGTTCCCAATTAGCATCTGGAACTTCTTGAGATTCAATTTCCTGTTCACGCTGGCTTCCAGATAGTAGAACACATCAATGAGGAGCGAGTCAATTGAATATGGTAATGCAGATGACACAGCTTTGGCAGCAAGATCAATTAGTTGATTGGGGCAACCAAGCACAATGAGGTTTGGCTGACACTTTCTGAGGCATGCCCCAATTCCCTTGTGTACACCAGTCATGCCTGATGCATTGTCTTATCCCAATGATGTGCAATTGTCCCATGAGATATCATGATTCTGCAGCTCTGTTATGAGCAATTGTGCAATATTTCCACCAGTTCCTGCCATTTCTAAGGTTGGGAGGGAAAGCAGAGTACAAGAAATTTGCTTACCATCATGGTAGTTGATGACAATTGGGTATAGTTACTGTCGCTGACATTACTCCCATCAGTTGATATTGCAAATGGCCGTGCTCTCATGTCTGAAACGATCTGTCCTTGTTCATCTTTTGCCATTTCACGCACAAGACAACAAGTTTGGTCCTTGCACTGGAAAACTTCTTAACCTCCTCAGAATTAGGAAAGGTTTTCCTCAACAATGGTCCCATGTGACTTGCAGCTGACAGAGGAATATTGTGCTCCAAATAAAATGATGTAAATAAGCACTCAGCTCTAGTTATATTAAAATCCTTGGAGGTTGACATCCATGATGTTATTTTTCATGCCGACGATTCAGACTGGAAAGCAGTGATGTGTTGCTTTGATTTGCAATGAACAACAATGTCATTACAACCGCCATGCAAAATTGACAAATCTTGGCGACATACCTTGCAAGTTGCATGATGTTTGCTCTTTCCTGATGATACAATGAAGTCAAAGTCAAGTCAAAGTCATCAGCATATTTCTTGTTGTAAGCTTGTCCTCTTTTGCGCTCCATCTTATTCACAATGATTTCCTGTCCTACACGATGCAAGGGTACTGCTTTGGAACCTTAAGCCTTTGTTTTTCGCACGAGATGGGTTTCCATGAAATTCTCCTTCTGTTCTCCCGACAACTGGTCATACTTCGTACATGTTGCACATTGGTCTTTTTTATTCATCATTACGTTTTTTCCGGGCAATGATATGGTGTTGCTTGGCCACAATCAGTGGAAGCTGCATAGGGAATCTAATCTGCTTAATTAGTAGAAAACTGCAAGTACTGCGCAATTCTTAATGAATGCATGAAAGTACTTGAAACAGTCTGGACATGAAAAGTAAAATGGCTAATGGACATACATGGGAATAGACAGTTCTGGCACACAAACTGAAATGAATATACAGTACTTTGGTGGACTTAACTCAATTTCACAAAAAATGGACATAGACAGTTCTGGTTTTAAGCCCTCGAGATATAATAAGAAATAAAAAACAATATAATACATATTAAAGAAAATAACATGAAATTTGCATATTCAAAATTTATGCAAATTAACCTTTGCATTTTCAAATATCGACAGCCCCCCCCCCCCCCCCCTGCAGTCAGGGGTTGCTCAAAATAGCCCAGGGCCAGTAGAATTTCAGAAATATGTTTGCTCTTTCATTAAAATTTAATGAGAAAATTGTAAAGCACAGTTTTTGTTGGGGTTGCAGGGGTTTACTCGTACATGTTTCTATGCGATTCCGTGTTTGTTTTTTTGGGGGAAAAAAGATTAAAAATTGTATTTTAAGATCGTATTTCACTCTTATTATCGTACTAAATATGATTTAATCGTACTGGTCGTACTCCAATTTTCATTGACTCAAACAACTTACATCATAGTGAATAACCTACTCAACTAAAACGCATTATCACTACCAAACAATAACATTCCAGCATTGCGTCCCGATATTAGTATTCTTTCATTATCATTAACCTTCCCATTTTGATATTCCATATATAACCATGATATCAACCTCTTCTTTCAATTCAATTAAATTAAATTTTATTTTATTCAAGTCCATTTAAAAAAAGTACATTGAAAAACATTGTACATTGACAACATATTTACATGTAGGATACACAGTATACATTGAACTTTAAACACACAATTAAAAAGAGAAGTAAAGACAAGAGTAAGAAATCAAGGAAATAGATAATGTACATGAAATGGAAATTGCAAAAGAACCAAATAAAGGTTCTGTCGAGGCAATTCCCAGCTTATTAAAATACCGAAATTTTTACTGATAAAGAATTAGAAAAGCATAGTGACATTATGGCAAAAAAAGAGTTTAAAAGTTTAAAAGTTATAAAAGTTATAAAAGTTATAAAAGTTATAAAAGTTATAAAAGTTAGGATGGATTAATTATTTTGTAGAGTCTTTACTTAAATACTTGCATGTTTCATTGTCACGTTCAAGCTTGATCTCTGATTTGAGTGTCTTCTTCAGAGTGATGGTTTCCACCGTGAAGTACCTTGTCTCCTACTCCAACCCAGTCAAAAAATGAGCACTTTGCAAGGTTCATGGAATGTTCCAACTTCAATATACGGATCAGGTCGACAATCCTTAATCTGGGAAGAAAAAGCATGGATGTATGATCTTGTTACCAATCCACCTATCAATCCAGTATTCTAAATGTGCACCATTGTTTTAGATTTGTAAAATATTATCTATAAGTTCGAAATACATGTACATGTCATGATGTGAGTGATGTTTAAAGATACTAAGGTTTGAAAGGCAAGGAGTGACAACACATAAATCCTTCAACTCATCACCTTAAGAAAAGGGTTTTTACCAACTTTACAACCTGCTTTCAATGTGATGTCCATGGCAGATGATATCATTGATAAGTGTACGGTAAGCCAATAAAATATTGACAACCCTTTTAAAAAGGAATAATATTCATATTCATTTTTGCAAGAATGAAGACATGATAAATGAAAATGTTTAATTATCAACAAAATTAAGAAATTTACTCGTTTATTCTTCTCATTTTACTACTAATATTAAAAAGCAATCTTAACAGCTTCATGGTAACTATAATATGTAGGGATGACCTCTGTTTCCAATAAATCTAGTCCCTTGCTGTACACATGATCTATCAATGTTCCCTTCTCAGTAGTAGCATTAACAACATGCTGTTTGTAACCTTTATTACACATTAGCTTGTTTACCTGTGAAGAACCTTTAAACAAATCCTCATTAAAATCTCCCATCACAATACACCTAATGCTTCTTTTGTGTAATGCATCTAGCAAATTGTCTAATGATTCACAGAATGATTTGATACTATATGATGGAGGTCGATAAACGACTGAAATCACAACAGAAACTGGTTTGGTGACAAGAATTGCGATAAACTCTAAGTTGTCGACAGATATGTTTAATCTACTTGAATATGTATTCTTGATATACATTGCAACACCTCCGTGCGATTGTTCTTTGAGTACATTTCCAACTCCAGAATTACAGTATGACAGATGTCGTGGCTGATGATAAAATAGAAAGTTATCTAAAATAACGTCACAGAGATCATCATCATTAATCCATGTTTCGGTCAAGCAAATAAAATCTACATTCACAAATTGGCACTGGGATTTGAAATCAGTAAAATGCTGTTTTAATCCTTGTACATTTTGCATTACCAAAGAAAAGTTATAATCGTGAATATCTTCAGAAGTTTCATTCTCGATAAACGGCTTCATAATCTCAATGCGTTCTTTAATTATTATTATTATTATTATTATTATTATTATTTATTTTTATTTCTTCCCGTTTTTTGTGCCCCGGATAACTCAAGTTTGTTTGAGTCAATTTGATTCAATTTTAGCACAGTCATAGGTCATTGTCATGACACGTGACAGGAACATTTTCAAGGTCATCATGTCATCGTGACGTCATCCAGGCGCCATTTTGTGTAATCACATTATCCATCATATCTCCATGATGCGTCCTCAAAGTTCATTCATATTCATATCACATATACTTCAGGTCAAGGGTCAACAGGTCATGTCATCAAAGGTCACATAAAGGTCATGACGCGCGCGTATGTGCGCGTCAAAATTTAAAATTCCTCAAAATCACTTAACTACTAAAGGAGAGTACGAATCAGGTTATTTTAAGCATTTCAAAATTTTCCGTCCGTACTTGTCCCCGCGCGCGGTGCGCGCGCTCATGACGCGCGGAAAAGGTCAAATTCAATTTGTTTACATGATTTAGAATCCTCTTACCGTAAATGACAATTTACATTAATTTCAGTCACTCTTGACCTTTCATAAGGCCGTGAGCGCGCGTCAAAGTTCAAATTCCGCGCGTACTGCTATGGGCAATATAATGCAAATTTGATCAAAAACATGCCATTTTAAAAATCGAAATAGCTCTTCAGATAGTCCATTGACCCCCAATTTTTATATCATGGTTGGAAAAAGCATGAGTTGGAGATATGATTTCATACCACCCTGACTCGTACAAAGTGAAATAAAGTCATCATATTGGCATCTAAACTCAAACAAATGTATTTTGTTGATGACGTCATTTTTGTCTTTGTTTATTTGAGATTATCTCACTTATCGGTGATCGATCTTCTCCCAGATTTTGATATGTTGTAGCTGAGATAATTCTCTATCAGAAATATGTCATTTATTTTTCATTTAGATGACGTCATCATAGTTAAATATTCGATTAAAGGCGACAATGCATAATTTGTCATATTTGCGTGTTATGTCTATGGGAGGTCACTTTTTTCAGAACATGAATCTGCATGACAATGTGTTTTGACCAGTATCTCGGTTGTTATTCAACAGTTTTCTCCCAAATTTTAGTATGTTGTAGCTGAGACTATTTGCTATCTAAATATTTCCTCATTTTTTCAATCAGATGTCAGGATCATGCTCATACTCATCATCGTCATCATCATCATCAATATTATCATCATCATCATCATCATCAATGTCACCATCATCATCATCATCATCATGGTCTGAAGATGATGATCATCAACATCACCATGATCATGATCATTATCATCATCATCAGTAACATTATCGTTTTTATCATCATATAACATTATCATTATCATGATCATCATCACCTTTACTATCATGATCATCATCATGTTCATCATGATCATCATTGTTTACATGTCTATATAACTTCTCCCATTCTCAAATCTATCATAAGACATAGACAGACCACCTTATTCGTCTTCGTGACGAATTAAATTTCTAGTTATTATTATTTCTTTATTTTTATTTCCTACACTTTTTTGTGCCTAGGATAACTCAAGTTCGATTTCGTCAATTTCATTCAATTTTGGCACAGTCATAGGTCATTGTGATGAGACGTGACAGGAACCTTTTCAAGGTCATCACGTCATCGTGACGTCATCCAGGCGCCATTTTGTGAAATCACGTTATCCATCATATCTTCATGATGCATAAGCAAAGGTCATTCATATTCATATCACATATATTTCAGGTCAAGGGTCAACAGGTCATGTCATCAAAGGTCACATAAAGGTCATGACGCGCACGTACGCGCGCGTCAAAATTTAAAAATGCTCAAAATCACTTAACTATTAGAGGAGAGTACGAATCAGGTCATTTTAAGCATTTCAAAATTTTCCGTCCGTAAGTGTCACCGCGCGCGTTGCGCGCGCTCATAACGCGCGGAAAAGGTCAAATTCAAATTGTTTACATGATTTAGATTCCTCTTACCGTAAATGACAATTTACATTAATTTCAGTCACTCTTGACCTTTTATAAGGCCGTGAGCGCGCGTCAAAGTTCAAAATCCGCGCGGGCTGCTATGGGCAATATAATGCAAATTTGATCAAAAACATCCCATTTTAAAAATCAAAATAGCTCTTCAGAGAGTCAATTGACCCCAACTTTTATATCATGGTTAGAAAAAACATGAGTTGGAAATATGATTTCATGTCTCATTTGACCCTCAATTAACTCATGACGTCATCATAATGGCCTCCAAACTCCAAATTTTAATTTTCATATTATGACGTCAGCAGATTTTTGGAAAATTGATTGTATCTCTGTAAATGTTGATCAATTTTCTTTCAAATTTTGATATGTTCTACCTGAGAATCTTCTCTACAAATGCAGTCCCCACGATATTTCATTTTGACAAAAGCATCATGGCGTATTTTTAAGATTAAAGGAGGCATGTCAATTTTTCACATTTTGCGTGTATTCTCTATGGGACATGACTTTTTCTCAAAACTGGATTCTACATTCTCGTCTTTTGCGAGCAATATCTCCGTCGTTTTATCTTTGTTTACGCTGAGCTTTGAGTATGTTGTAGCTGAGACAATAAGCTATCACAAGTGTGCCCTTTATTTTTCGATCAGATGCCGAGATCATGCTCATATTTCACTTACAAAGTGGGATTTGAGAATTCCATTTTCCGTTTACGTGTAATCTCTATGTGAAATGTTTTGGTATATCGGTAACGCACTTGACTTCCGACCTCGAGGTCCCTGGT